ACCCTACTCAATTTTAGCTGATGACCATTCCCAGGATAATTTGGACATAATTTTTTGTGTTATCCATTGAAAATTATATGCCAGTTTATGAGCGCCGAAGTACGTGATTCGAGATTCGGAGGCCCAGAGGGTTGGTCCAGAGTCCATTGCTTTAGGTGGTTCGATAAAATAATTTGTTTCTGAGTATCTTTTTTTTTTTTGGGAAGCAATCCGGCTAAGATTTGTTGTAAGATGGAAACTGTTATTTCTCGTCACATCGTCATTTGCTTCATTCCTTTGTGGATTCCGTTCGCCATTGCAAGATAATGCATTTTTTTTCCCGAGCCGTACTACAGTTTAGCCAAATGGCTATCCCCGTTGACCGGTAGGGGCAATGTTTTTCGTTGACAGGCCCAATATCCTTCGAGCTGTCAACAGCCAAAGCATTCACGCTCATCTCTTATTTGCGCATGCATTGTTTTTGCAGGAGCAATGTTTTGAGGATTTCAGTGTACAGGAAGAAGCGTTGTGCTGCCTGCTGCTGCTGCTGTTGAGGGAGAGGTGATCGAAGCTGCTGCTAAGGCTGTCAACACGGAGTAGCGGAGGGGTGCTAGAGTTGAGAGGCAGTCAGAAGATGAGCGAGAATCCGAAGGGTGGCAGCTGCTGCTAGTGCTGCCGATGTTTGCTCCAGGATGGGAAAGAGGGAGCAGGGGGAGGAGGACGACGATGATTGTGATGCGAAAAGGCGCACCTCGTCCGTTCGGCCGATTCCCGTTGAGAGACGATAGGGCCACCGCCGTTCAGCAGCAGCAGCACCCTTCGTCGAATTGCTGCTGCGCGTCCAGTTTTCGGTGTGTGTTTGTGTATGAAATGTCTGTGCTGCTCGGTGTGTGTATGTGTGTGCCATGCCCAGGATGTCCTGGCAGCAGGAGCAGCAGCACTACTACTGTCACTGGCATCCGGAAGCTCGCACGTGTGCTCGCTCCCTGAGATGCTGCTCGTTTTTTGCGAAGAGTGCGCGAATGAATGGCGCACATTCCTCTTCCTTCCGCCACAGTCGTCGCAGTCGTCGATCTGAGGATGGAATCTGTATGAAATCAAAATACACGCGCACATCATCATCATGGTGGTACTTAATGCGACCGCGAGAGAGACAGAGAGAGACAGCTCGAACAAACTGTATATGTTGTGGTAGGAAAATTTTGGTGTATTTTTCTTCACTGCTTTTTAAGGAGCATAATATTATTCAGCAACAAGCGGGGGGATCACGAATTTCACGATTGTCTGGATTTTTGTTTTTTGGCCTACGATGAGCAAAAATGCTGCTGTTACTGCTGACACTCAGCTGATATAATTGGCAAAGACGATTCGGCATTTTATTACAAAAAACTGGAGCTGACAGATCAATCCGAGGAAATTTGAGGTAAATCATGTTTTTTTAAGTGCAATTTCAGCGCTACCATTGCGTTTGTGTTTTTTGGTACGTTTCTTCCCCCTCCCTTGTCTTCCCTTCTATTTCATTTCATTTCATTTCATGTACCGAAAAAAAAAAAGATACTGGTAAACTAGAAACTGGATGTTTTTCACGATTTTTGTTAACTTTTTTTTTGTTCGAAGTCTCTGCGTGCCTCCCTTGGTGCACTGCTTGCATCAGCTGGACTTGAATCCTTGTTCCACATGGGCCGTCCATCGAAAAAGCGGTTACCTAACACTGCCGACCGTTTTTTCAGTGCATTTTCAGTGTACAAATCCCATGTGTACGTTCAGCAGATTTTGCTCCATTCTCTTTTTACACATTCCTCGAACACACAATGTAAAACAGCGATTCCGTGTATTCCGTGAAACACAGGTCCGTGAGCAGCAAGCGTGTTGTTGTTTTGCTGGATTCAGTGAATTTTTGTTCTGGATGCTGGTTTTCCAGAAGCAGGATGTTCGCCTTTCGGAGTGCATGGATACGCGAGCGCATGGATTCAAGGCCCGAGTAGTGCAGGATGAGTCAGCAAAAATTGTTTTCCGTTGAAAAACTGGAACATTCTTTAGCTGTGCTCCGGCTATGAACCCTACTACTCGGTGCAGGATGGTTATTTTCATGTAGCTGAGCCTCCCGAAAATTTGCCTGCGTCGTTTTCCCGCACTTCAAATTTCATTGCAACTGCTGAGATATGCCTGTTAAAGGGATGATGCAGTCTGTGTTGCCGATTGCATTTCTCCAGTGCTTACAGCGGTTGCTCCATGTTTTCATTAGATATTTTCGCACTGAAAGATGTCATCAAGGTGTGTTAGAAGAGGAAAGAGGGGAGGAGGAAGAAAGCGGAGGGCGGGGAGAGGGGAACGGGGGTTGAACAGACGAATCCATACATTTTAGCTTGGCGTCATTTGTCAAAAAATTGGATTTTTTTTGTTCAAAACGCTATCCTTCTCATTCATTTGTTGCTGCCCATTTGCTTTAGTCAAATGAAAACTTCCTTCTTCTGTATTCAAGCGAATGGTGAGTTTTACAGTCAAGCATGTGCCAGTACCAGTTTATCGTCAGACTGAAAATGAGCGATTCCTAGAGAGATTGTTTGTCGTCTTATTGGCACAGTAGAACCTCCTCTGACCTTCGGGGAAGTCAAATTTTTCATGTAAATTATTTCGTTCTAACTGATTTTAGCATACCCATCATATTTGGCTGAAGTGTGTGTGTCCTTTTTAATGAGGATTTTGCAGCTTGTTTTCTTGATTTCGCAAATTTTTCCCCAATCGGACGGACGGTTTTTGGCATCTCTTCTCGCTCGAGCAAATAAGGACAATGTACGTCACTCCAGTAAATTCTACCGCGATTGCTTGTTTTTCGCACTCGCCGGTTTTTTTTCGTATAACGAATATGCATTTTGTCGAAGAGTCGGGGAGGGCAGGGGTTTTCTTCGGATT